CTGTTTCTGTATGTAGTAGAATTCTGTTCAGTCAGTTTTCAGTCTTTTGCAGAACCCTTAGATATGGTTCATGGATCCTGGACCATAAGTTGAGAACCACTGCTCTAGAGTGCCATCATTTACACTGGGGACTAAGGGCAGCTAGGGGATGGAGATCTGCATTTTGATATAAAGAACGTTAACCAGCTTTAAATAAATCCTGGATTTGTGAACTAGGTCTGCAGAAATGTTGCAGGTTGTGTTAACTTCACTACATTTGATACTTTAATCCAATTACACTACATGTTCTCCAGCACATCTGTCACGTTAATCTCTTCTGAAATTACTATATTCTCTAGTCAATGAATAAAAATACATGCTTCTCAAATTCTGCATGCAATGCTAACAATGGAACCCTTTCTATTCTGTAACAAAGTGTTTTGCAGAAGAGGGGACAAAACTATGCTTCCTTGTTTTTGTATCACAGTAATGGATTTTAAAATGATTTACTTGTACAGACTTGGACTTGTGCATGGACTTGGTGCAGCTAATGCTAGAGCATCATTCCGTTTGCTGCTATCCTGGAAGAACCTTAGTACATCTGGCCTCTGAGCATGACATTTTTTTCCTCATTCTTAGAGAGATTACTCTCTAATTTAATGGGAAGTTTGACCCTTTCTTGCTCTTTCTGTAACCAAAGGACACAGTATTCCCTCTCCCTGTATTACCATTCTTTATACATAGATTATACAGATCTGAATAGTATTTATATTAACTTTTGTCCTCACCAACTGAATGGTCTGTACGCTAAGTAAACAGAGATGGAAAGTAATTTGGCCAGGGTAGATGGTTACTGAAAGAAGCTGTTAACAGCACTGTGTGATGGCTAGTGTAAAATAATCTGGTGGTCTCAAAGCCACTCCCTGTGGGCTGGTCATCAGAAAACCAGCACCACAGGAAGAGGCAGTGTTAAGAAAGAGGACTTGATTCTCCCCTGCCCTGCACTTCGGGCAGACCTTTACAGCTATGCAATGTGAGCATCATCCTGATTTAGCAGTGTTTTATACTGACTTTGCACAGCAAAGGGGTGGAGGACTGTACTTGATGCAACAGTGCAGGAGCAGGCCCTAGATATGCACTAGCTGTTCTGTAGGTGCACAGGGTACTCTAGCCTGCCAGACCAATTATACCAAGGGAAGTGTGTATAAGAGTGTTTAACTTACTAGCTCTGTGCACCAAATACATTAGCAACCCGTCATTCACAGCATGCATGTGCTCCTGCAAGCTAAGTGATAAGGCTAAACAGACTTCAAATCCACTGGACAACAGGTGGAATCAATGCTTGGAAATGTAAGCGACAAATGTGAGCTGCTCACTGTACATAGGGAGCTACTGAAACATTCACCTCTGTGCCTCATTGATCCCACTGGACTCAACAAATGTCAATAAGCCCTCTGTCTCATGTTCTTGACCGAGCAAGCAAGAGCTGAATTGCCACAGCTGATTAACATCGGAAGTTAATCTAACTGAGCAAGGATTAGTTTGCTTGGCACTTTATCAATTTCCAACAAGTATATAACTGGAGAGGGGAATTTAAACATTTTCATGAATACCTACAGCAGAGTTTGATTCTGAGCTCAGTGAAGTCAGTGGAGTTATGCTGCTGTAAAACTGACGTCAATAGCACTAGTATGCACAAGAGGAGATACTTTCCCACTTGCTTCCCCAAATGCTGAATTAATCTATTGCTAGCATAGTTTTTTTTTCCTTTCAGTTAACCCATGTTTACTTCAGTTTCCAGGGAAATGTATGCTTGTCTATACGTTCTAGTCCATGGCTCCCTTTGGCTGGAAACAGCAAACCAGAGCTAATGAGAGACATGAGGCTCTGTGGCTACAGACCCTTAAGATAAAGTGACACAAGCCCTCTAGCAGCTTTCTCAAAGCAGGCCCAAGGAATACTTTGAGAAACATTGCTCTAGTCTTTCATCTTCTTGCAATATATTTTAGAAATGTGCATCTGTCCGTCCATCTGTCTGTGAGTCCATTTGTTTAAGAACTCCTCCTAAATAGTAAGACCTAGGACCACCAAGTTTGGTATGCGGCTTCCTCTTATAACTTAAAGCAAGGTAAGGGTTTTGTTGTACCAGGAAAAGGGGAAGTGCTTAGAAATCGATTGTTTCTCATAAAATGGAAAAGGAGAGGGTTTGCAGGAGGGAGTTACACTGTACAATGACACAGAGGGGCAGCAAGGGGCCAGAGATGGGAACCTGGACCACTATAACACCACTGGACTAGCGGGGGGTGGGGGCACAGAGGAAGGGACTGCTACCTACTATATATTTCAGAGAGCTTGTCTATTTGTGTGTGTGTCTGTCCCACAGTCCAGGGCCATGCACCCTTCCCCCAGCTGTGCCCGCTGCAGCAACCATGGACAGGTGCTTTTCACTTAGCCCCAAGCTGCCTCGGTGAGAGAAGGCTGGGGTTGTCCTCTCTCCTTGCATACTGAATCCCTCATCTCCCAGCCCATCCCAGAATAATGATTTAAATGAAGAAAAACAAAATTCATTTGAATTAAGGACATGAGCAAAGCTGGGTAAATCTTCTAGTTATATGTGCTCCTTATTACAAACCATTCAGACCATACTCCAAAGTGACCATGTGTATGCATGGTTTTTTAATGCATGTTCAATGAAAATATCTAAACTGTGAACAAAATAGAAAACTGAAAATTATATTAGCATAGGCTCAACATTTTGGGGAACCTAACTTTATGAGCAAAATATACAAGTGTGTATATAATTCTCTGTTCTGTGCGCATAATTACAAGTGCACATTTTGTAAGTGCTACTTAACTGCCTATTTAAAAAAAAACTTGATTTTTCAGAATTTCCAAGCATTCAGAACTCTCACTACATTCTCCACTAGCTGTTTGATCCATCTCAAGTCCCAGAAGTTGAGAGCACTGAGCACTTCACAAGATTGGGTCCTATGTAAATTAAATCACTTTCCTTTCAGTACTGGAATTTAATCATCCTGAGATTAGTGAGAATTATTTAGTTACATGTGTTTGTTTCCTCAGCCATTTGTGTTCTTTCTGGACTTCCTTTTGTCCTATTTAGTGATCTTGGCTGCTTCCAATCTACAGGTGGACCACTATGCTCAGTTTGTAATGGTTATTTTTTATAAAAATATAACCAGCAAATAAAATATTACTTTCACTCTCCTCCGATTAACATTACTGGCTTGTAATATCAGTTTATAAGACCACGGCCAAAGTAAAGCATAAGAAATATGAAACCGAGTGGTCAAGGAATACTAAACCTAGACCAACAGCGTGAGGTGGAAATGTGTAGCAGGACTTCTGAACATTTAGAGATTTATACTATTTCATAACCATATGGCTTTCTTGCTATCAAACCATGGCATGTCTGTGCAAAGAAATAAGCTTCCTGTGTCAAAAACGCTTGGCTCAAAAGTGATACGTTGCAATAAAAGGAAATTGCAGCACAGCCTCATCAGACAACGTGCATGTTACCTTTTCCTGCCTATTGCCATGGCTTTAAAAAAAACCAAAAAACAAAACAAAACAAAACCAAAACTTGTGATACAGCATACTGTATTTCTAGCTAGCCTGACCTCTGAAATCATATAAACAATTACTCATTATTTAACTTGACTGTAAAGTTTTAGAAAAAACCCAGCAGTATTAATATTGCAACAGATAGTGGCTTGCCAGCACTTCCACCCATCAAAATATCCCATTTCAGAGGTTTGTGAGTCATCCGTACCAATTTGTTTCAGGTTAAAACTTGCCAGGGAGCAAAGTTTGGTTTCACAAGATAAATCATATAAACAATTACTCATTATTTAACTTGACTGTAAAGTTTTAGAAAAAACCCAGCAGTATTAATATTGCAACAGATAGTGGCTTGCCAGCACTTCCACCCATCAAAATATCCCATTTCAGAGGTTTGTGAGTCATCCGTACCAATTTGTTTCAGGTTAAAACTTGCCAGGGAGCAAAGTTTGGTTTCACAAGATTGGACAACAAAGTCAAATCAGATGTTAGTGGGGGAGAGAAAAGGTGTTTTCAGAATTCTTTTGCAATTGTATGATGGAAAAATTGCTTTAATTAAAAATAGAAAGCATAGAAAGCAACTATTTATCACGGAAATGTATATAGCTCCCCATCACTCAAGCATCTGTGTGTTACATTAATGAAATAATCAGTTACAAAATAACGCACAACTTCTTACTCACAAAGAATAAAACCATTTCAGGACATTACTAAAGGCCAGTCCAATCTCTGACCAGGCAAACAAGTCTTGAACTGTGCCCTTAAGCTCACTAAAACCACAGTTTGGCAGTCTGCCTGAGACAGCAAGTTCCAGAGGCCTGACTCTGCTCTGGGAAGGCCCTGCTACCAGCCACTAGGTATTCAGCACCAGACAGAAAAAGATGTAGCAGACTGCAACCACCATTACCATGACAGTGCCCAATAGTATTTATACCTTGAATTGCACCTGTAGGTATATGACTATTAGAGATCCCAGAACAGCGTGTGTCCATAATGGCTTGCCTTGCTGTGCATTCTACACTGGCTAAAGATTCCAAACATTTCTGAACGTGATCTTGAGTCATTTGGTAATGAATATAATGGAAGACAGGTGTAGCTAGTTCGGTTCAAGTATATATTCTGTTATACATTCACACAAAACTTTCTGAAGAAATTTAGATGCTTGGGTTGCCATGACGGGGGAAACAGAGTATTCCCATTTGACCTCTCCATAATACATATTCCTAAATTATGCACTTAACCCACCTGGTCCAAAGCCTGTTCAGAAGTATGGTGGCACCACTGAGTACAGCCATCACAGCCTGATAGTTAAGGACGAGCAAAGAAAAGTGAGGATGACGCTTAAAAGCCTCGTGAGGCCGTTAGGAGGCTCGAAATACACAGAGCTTTGGAAACAGGAGACCCCAAATGCCAAGGGAGAAGACTGCACGGGAGCAGCTTACCTGTTTTCCAGCAGCGTCATGCACACCACCTCTCGCACGCCAGGGTTGTTGGCTTTTTCCAGGGAGCAGCTTTGCAGATTCCAAGTGGCCACCCTCAGCACGGGCTTGCCGTCTCTCACCCCGCCAAACATCTCCACCGAGGGGCGAGTGGAGATCAGCTGGGTGGGGCCGCCGGGTGGGACATCCAAGTCCTCGCTCTGCAGGCTCAGGGAGGTGGGGCTGGGGTGAGGCTTGACGGTGAAGTTAAGCCCCCCGTTGGTGTTGGTGGAAGGGGGCCGCGACCTCTCAGTGAACACCTGGTGCCGGATTTTGTCCAGGAAGGAGGAGCTGATGCCGTCCAGTTTCACCAGGTCCTCGATGCTGCGGAAGGGCCCGTGCTCCTGGCGGTAGCCCACGATGCGCTGGGCCATCGTCTCCGTCACGCCGCGGATGCTCATGAGCTGGGCCGGCGTGGCCGTGTTGATGTTGAGCCTGGCGGCGGCGGCGGCCAGGTGCGGGGGCTCGGCGCCGGGGTCCCGCCGGAGGGAGCTGGGCGAGTGCTGGGCCGAGCTGCCCTTGCTGCTCACGCAGATCTCGAACTTGACCTGCTCCAGCCGGGCGGCCCCGACCCCGCTCACCAGCGCCAGGTCCTCCACTTTCTTGAAGCCCCCGATGTACTCGCGGTACTCCACGATGCTCTGGGCCACCGGCCGGGTGATGCCGGGCAGGGTCATGAGCTCCTCCTCCGTGGCGCTGTTGATGTTCAGCCGCTCCTGGTTGACCAGGATGTGGCTGAAGTTGCACGCCGCGCTGAACTTGCGGCTGTGGCACAGGTCCGAGGGGTCCCGCGGGATGGAGCGGTGGCAGCCCAGGTTGCCCCCCATGGCCGGCGGCGAGAGTCGAGGCGGAGCCTCTGCAGCGGGAGAGCGGCGGGCTCACGGCTCTGCGGGGCGCCCCTGGCGCGGCGGGCAAGTGGCACCGCACCCGGCCCGGCCCCGCATCGCCCGGAGGGAGGGGCCTGCCGGCCGGCTGGCGGCGGGTGAGGGCTCACGGCAGAGGGGAAGTTGAAAAGCTCCCCTGCCCCCGCCTCTGGCGAGCCGCCCTCCCGGCCCGGGGCAGCCAGCCAGGCAGCCGCGAGGGGTCCCCCTCCGCTTCCTTCCTCTGCACCGAGTTGCTCCCCCGCCCGAGCCAGGCAGGCAGGGGAAGGCGCCTCCCGCCGTCCGGGGCTCCCTCAGCCCTGCGCCCCCTCCCGCCGCGTCCCAACCCCGCCAAGGCCGGGCTCTCCCCGCCGCCTTCGGGCGCCCCCAGCAGCTCCGCGCCCTTTGCTCGCCTCGGGGTAGCCCCGCGCGGACGCTCGCCTCCCTCCGCAGGGGAGGAGGCGCCAGCTGCATTGGCCTCCTCCCGGGCTGGTCACATGGGCGCCCGCCTCCCCGCCAGATGCAAAGCCCAAGCGGCAGCCGGGGGAGCGACAGGTAGCTGTGCTGGGCGCTGCTTTGGTCCCGCCGTCTGCAGCGGGCGCCGCCGGGGAACACGCAGCAGGAGCCCGGAGATCTCTGGCAGGGCGACGCAGAGCAGTTCTTGCCAGGAGGGGCTGGCACTGGGTCACGGAGCGGGGTGCAGGGGAGAAGAAGAGGGGCGAGAGAGTAATGACAGGACTTAGAGCTTATTAGATACAACCGCTGCGTTTCCCAAGTGCTGCACGAACGGCTCTGACTGCCAACCCGTGCAAAACCGCCTTGGGCAGGAGAATTTGCAGTTCATCTGCCAGGGCTTTTGCGTGGTCGCAGCACTTGGACTGCAGCCCTTCTCGGTGGCCTTATTTAAATGGACTTGTCTCTTGGCACGCATCCCTGCTTTGAAGTGGTAGTTGGCTGTCCCCAGCCTGGCCTGGCCATCAGCACATTTTCCAGCCGCTTGGCAAATCTTTAACCTGGGGTGGTATGTCCAAACTTTGCAACATAGGAGAGCCACCATAGCACTTTCTATATGCAACTTTCTATCTTCAGCCATGCATTTGTATTATGAGAATACACAGAAGCCCTAAAGCATAATCCCAGATGCCATTGTACCGTATGCTGTGCCAATCCTAAAAAAGATTGACTCTGCCCCCAGCGACTTCACAGTCTATGGCCTCACAAGTGGATGTAAAACTAATTGGAAGGAAAAAGGGGGGGGGGGGAGGGAGGAGAGTGAGGAAAAGAACAACATATGTTTACAGATGTCAGGTCTGTGCACAGCTAGATGAAAATGATATAATACAAATAAATATTTAACATAAACCTCAAAAGTGACTCTTAGCCTTCTATTATATGCCCAATAAAAATAAATCTACACAATCATAATAGCATTTTGTTTTGCATCTCTGGTAGCTTACGTATTTTAGTACACCAAAAATAGAAAACATTTTGATCAGCTTCAACCTGTCACCAAAAGTGCAGGGAAAGTAAACTTAACATTTGAGAGAGGAGCTGGCTGCACTGGGCTCTTGGTCTTCACTTATGCACAGCACCAATGCTTTAACATTTGTGGTATTATATTGTGTATTTAACATGACCTTTTACGTTAGTTTGCTGTTTGAATTTACAAGAAATGTAGCAAATTGGTAGCTTACTTTGTCAGTACAAGAAGTTCTTATTCAAGTGCTTAATTTATTCCGTCTGCATCAAAAATAGAAAATATAGTGAATTCCAAACTGTGAGATCACCTTCCAATGCATCAGAAGTCACACTGGGCCTTATTCTGCCAAGCACAGATTAGAACAATTTCAGGGATTAGCGTTTTCACTGAAATGCATGAATATTGGAATAAGAGCTCCAGGAGCTACCTAAGGATGCGTATACACAGCAGGGCTTAACTTGAAATAAGATACGCAATCTGAGCTACGTCAATTGCATACCTTATTTTGATATTAGGAGTATCTACACAGCACTTATTTCAAAACAGAGCACGCTTCCTCCTCATACAATGAGGTTTACAGGAGTTGGAGTAAGAAGTCTTCCAGTTTGACAGTATTTCAACATTATTTTGAAATAACTGCCTGCTGTGTAGCGCGGACTAAGTTATTTTAAAATAATTATGTTGCTGTGTAGACATAGCCTCAGTGTTGAAAATTCTCATCGTGGTAATGGTAGATTTCTACAATAGATTTAATATGTTTCCTTAGAATTTATTCAAGGAATAACAAAGCACTGAAATCAATGTGAATTGGGCCTATTCATCTGTGGGCAGAACTGGGACCTCTGTATTTAAAAATAAAGATTGTTTATTGGAGCAGCTCCAAGAAGAAAACAACCCTTGTCACCAACATGAAATTGTTTCTGTTTCATCAGTAGCTAAGGAAGATGTCAGCAATCATTCAACATTTTTAAATACGAAACGTGCATCAAAAAAAGAATATTAAAAGAATTGGCTGGAAAGAACTCTGATCCATTTGTGTTGATTTTTACCTAATATTAGAACAATGGGGAAGATCCAGAGGATTGGAAGAAAGCTAATATTGTGTCAACATTTCAGTAACCCAGGCAACTATAAATGAGTTAGCTTGACACAATCCGATATGGAACACAATCAACCAATAATGAAAAGATGGTGAAGTTGAACTTAGATCGTCACAGCTTGGGGGAGTACTCTAACCATTGGACTAAAAATTACAAGGTGGTTACCTACCATCTTCGCTTTTTATCTTGAGAAAGGTCATCCCTAACCCCAGGATAGGGTTCACTGCTGTGAATTGAAGACAAGCACTTAAGTCTCCTTTCTGAATCTAGCCTGAAAAGGTTAAGAGTTGATTTGAGCACAGTCCTGTAGGAATGTGTTAATTCTATCAAACTTTTTGATAGAAATCCTGTTGCCTGGTTCCCTGCCAGCTTTCCCCAGCTGCCCACCTGGAGGGCTGCTTGGCTTCCTGGGATCTCCAGCTCTCCAGAAGTCCACCGGGCTACCCAGCAACCAGGCTCCCTGGACAGCTGGCTTCTTGAGTTTCCCCTGCTTTCACCATGACAGGCAGCCGAGGGGAAAGGATTGACTTCTTCCTGGTCAACCAGCTCTCCAAGCTACCTGGGAGGCTAGGACGCCAGATCACTGTACTGCCAGCTGGAGGGGGGTCTCTAGCTGTCTAGCTCCCTGGATGGCTTGTCAGCTGGCAGACATGACAGCCAGGAAACCAGTCCATCAGGCTGGCAACTGGCTGGCAGATGGGGAACCAGCTTTTCTGGCTGCTCAGCCAGTTCAGATTATTTCAAAAATTTAATTCCCGTAGAAAATTTTACATTTCTGACTTTGTTCTGATTCAGAATATTTGTCCCCGGAAATGTGAAATTTTCCACAGAAAGGAAATTCTAGTTCCCATACCGTGCTAATAATTAAACATTGGAACAACTTACTTTGGAATGTGATAGGTATTCCATCACTTGAAGTCTCTTTGTCAAAACTGGATATCTTAAAAAGGTATGTGATAGCTCAAACAGAAGTTATGGGCTTGATGCAGCCCTCAGCAGTTCTGACCCCAGCAAACTGTATACAGTTTGACTTCCATTTACCTTGGTTACAACCAGCCAGGTGACCCCAACAGACTCCCAGGCCTGAATTTCCCCAAAACTGTATTCCCTCATATGGAGCACTCAGGCTATGTCTACACTGCAGAGTTTTCGCACAAAACAGTCATTTTTGTGCAAAAACTTGCAGAGCGTCCACACCTCAAGCACATTTTTGAGCAAGAAATTTTACAGTGAATTGACAGGACAGAGGGGGTTTTGTGGTGTAGGTATTCCTCTTTCTACAAGGAATAACTCTCTTTTGCGTAACAGTTATTGCTCAGAAAGGTGTGTGTGGACGGGCAGCAGGGTTTTTTTGTGCAAAAACAGCCTATCGAAAGAAGCACAGGTGCCCTGGTGGCCATTCTGTTAATGGCCATCAGAACTTTCTTGCGAGAGAGCGTCCATGCAGTCTGGACGCTCTCTTGCACAAAAGCCATTGCTTTTCCGATACGTTTTTTCAGTGTGGATGCGCTCTTGCTCAAGAAGTTTTTGCGGAAGATCTCTTCCACAAAAAGCTTCTTGTGCAAGAAGCCTGCAGTGTAGGCATAGCCTCAGAGTAACAATGAAGTGCATTGCTTATTTTAAAAGCACAATACAGCTATTCACTTCATGGGATAACTACACCTTTCCCTTCAAACACAGCACTAAGTTGGTTTAAAGTAAAAAATAAAACTCGTTGCTTAAGAGGTACACAGGATTAGGTGAGTTCAAGTATAAGGAATGATGACAATAAAAACAAAACAAAATAACGTGGTAGTGGCTAAGACTTAATAAGATGGAGTCTTAGTTCAAGGTAGATTTCTTACCAAACTCTCTGTTCTCTTTCCAGCCATGGAAGACTTTCTCTCAAGTCAGGACCCTCCACAGAAGCACAAAGGTCTGTTTTTCATTGTCTCACATGAAAGGTCTTTGGTTATATATATTTCTCGTCTATATTCGGTGTCCAGGAACTTCAGCCCCCACTCTCCCTTGGTTGAAGAACCTATCAGCCTCCATGAGCTCTGTTCCCTTGTGTCTGGCTAGTGATACATGTCAAAGATGGCTTCTGTCTTCGCTTATAGCTCCAAAAGTCAAAGATCTTGTTTCAAGAGGCAGGGTGACATGCTGTTCCCCCCCTTCCTGTGGGTTTTCCATCCCCATGTATATAAATGGGGTTTCCATCATTTTGAATCCACCTGGCTTAGTTTACATAGAAGACAGGTAAAATACAGG